CGCGCGAGGACCCGCGGGATTTGATGTGTCGCGCCATGAATCCATGCGAAATACAATTCCGGGGTCCAGTTTGAAGGCGAATCTTAGCCGTGAGTGCACTATTTGAGCTACCAAGGGCAGAGTCTCATTTGGAGCCTCAAAATTACTTTCCACGGGAGAGCCCCATAGATTCTTGCCTGGACGCTGCCTTTTATTACAATTACATGCTTCTCACTGTTTCAATTGATGCTCACTATTTTGGTTATCTATTTTGAAGTACATAATTTTACTGTTATCTCAGTGTGTGTATATGTAGGTCGACCTGGACTTTTTGGATTCTCCTTGGCTGTTTTCTGCTTCGGATATGGCAGTTTACTGTACCCTCTGCGCAATTGCTAGTTATGATAGATCGGAACTGAAAAAGAAAGTGATCCATGATGGAAACTGCAGGCATGTACTGTCTTCTCTCTCCAACTTCTACTTGATGTTATTAGTTTTGCTTTTTTCTGCTTCTATGATCTAGAAGCTTTGCATTGCAGGAAATTCCTTGAGTCAGAGCCGAGGCTTGTGGAATTACTGCAGTGCATCGTGAAAAGTCAATTCGGTCGCGCGCTGGACATACTGAAAGAGATGAAAGATCGGGTACGGTTATCTTGGGCTTATTTTTCGTCTTTCATTCGCAATATTTCAGTTTCTTCTCGATCCTTATCTGAGTCCTCATGTTGACCCATTGTATGCTGTGATTCGTGAACGTGCACTACTACAATACCTGGAACCATTCGCATCAGCTGATTTGAATGCTATGGCAAATGTGTTCAGGACTGATTTGAGGAGTGTAAGTGCTTTTATCTTTTTCCATTTTGGCACATTATACGCAAAGATTCTCAATGCAAAATCTTTAGCTCGAAAATGAACTTGTGGCTCTTTGCGAACAAGGACAGCTTGCTGCTCGAATTGACGCAGTTGGAGCAACCATTCGCATGGTCCTGACCGATGAGCGTGAAGAGAATTACAAGAAGTGGGTACTAGTTATCCATATTCAATATGGTTCTTTTCTGTAAACCACCTACTTTTGGATATGGTTACTACCGTTTTTTGACTCATTGGCCGGCTCAAAGTTTTGACTGTGAATTTTCTGCCATTTATATTTTGGGTTTGCTGAGCCTATACTTGTGCTTCAGAGCTCGTCAACGTATCAAAATTTTGTTTTTCTTGAGTGCGCTGTTCTCAGTGGCTGTTAGCTGACCGGTTACACCGTCTGACCAGCATGCTTGCCGTTCAAGAGCAGTACTTTTGCCATTCAATAAACTCTGTTACTTTTGATAACATTGCATCCAGAAAGCCTAAGAAACACAGAAAACCAGGGCTGAAAATTCTTCGAGATACTATCCTGTTTCTAAACACTTTTCTGTTGAAGTGATTGCGTCAAGAATTCCTTCG